GGTATCATGAAATGACCCTTTAGCTGAGCAAGGTGCTCTTGTATTAAGGGAATGTGCATGAGGAGGCCCAATGTCCACCTGCCACCCTACTACTAAACCTATAAATATGTGCACCTAGGTCCATTTCCCCCATAAGCTTAAATATATTTACATATGTACATGTCTGTATTTAGGCTTCTATGTATGCCCTTTGCCTCCTACTCCTTTCCTCTATTTCCTTACACTTTCCTCCTGTTCCACCACCATGTTCAGCCTTCATTCTGGTTTCAGTAATTCCTCTCAGTTACCTTGCCCTTGATCACTTCCTCCCAGTCCTCCCATCCCCTCCTTGCCATTGGTTTTGAATCACTCATTGTTCCCTTGTCCCTGGGTTGGCCAATACCTCCTCTCTTCCCCTACCTCAAGTGAGGACTTGAAGCATTTGTTGATGGAAATAAAGGACTGCAGTCTTCAAAATGGATTACAACTCATCATAAAGAAACCCAGAATCCTCCTAACTGAACTAATAGGTAACATTATGATGTGATTAAGATGACAGAGAAGATAATTAAGTTATCAAGAAGAGATTTCATTTTCTTTGGATCTACAATCAGTGGTCATGGAAGCAACCATCAAGAATTCAATCCATGTATAATATTGGGCAAATCTGCTGCACAAGACTTCTTTGAAGTGTCAGAGAGCAAGGATGTCACCTGGAGAACTAAGGTGCTCCTGATCCAAGCTATAGTATGTTCATTCTCTCACGTGAAGTGAATGAGGAGGATGGGAGAAAATTCATGCATTTGAATGATGGCGTTGGTGAAGAATATTAAAAGTACTATAGACTGCTAGAAGAATAAACTAATCTGTCTGAGAAGTACACACAGAGGGATCCTTGGAAGCAAGGCTGGTGAGACTTCATCTCATGTACTTTGGACATGTTATCAGGAGAGACCAGCCCCTGGAGAAGGACATGGTGCTTGGTAATGCAGCAGGTCAATGAAAAAGAGGAAGACCCTTAAAGAAATTGATTGATACCGTTGCTACGATCATAGGCTCCCACCTAACAACACTGTGTGAATGGTGCAGGGCAGTGTTCTGTTGTGCTATACACAGGGTCGCTGCTAGTTTGAATTCGCTGGATGGCACCTCACAGCATCCACAATAACAGTAAATAGATACAATAATCTTTCTTTTCATCTTTCCTTATTCCAGTCCTAACATTTTGTAATGGTAAATGAGATAAGTGCATTTTTGGTTTTATGTCAATTAGTTGTATCATGTAAAGTACGATGAATACTTTGTATTGTTTTCATTTAGAGATTATGTAAGGTTTAAGAAGATTTAGTCAGATACCAAGTTTGTAAGGGGTGGACTATGATGGTTGATGTTAAGTCTCAATTTGACCAGACCATGAATCTCAGTGCTTTGGCAGGTAGTATTTGATTGCATTCCATTTTGTAACAACCTGTTAAAAGGCAATTTCATTCTGAAGGTAGCCTGCATCCAATATACACGGATGTCTGGCAAAGCTTGCTTCCTCTTGATCTTGCCTCCAACTCATCATCCTCTGATCCCTGCTTCTTGGGACGTGAGATGTCCAACCAGCAGATTTGTGGACTCACCGATTCCTATAACCCTGTGCCTTCTGCCTGGCCTGCCTATTTTGGATTCATCCATTCATACAACTGGGTAAACTAGGAGAATACGCCTGCCTAACACCTAACCCATGGATCGGGAATGTTCCACGCTCTATAAGTTTTTGAGCTATTTCTTTGAAATATGTCTCTCACATTTGCATATATACATCAACTGTTTTTTCCCTCCGGAGAAAGTACTGTGTAATAAATTTGAGAGGAAGTTATCAGTATTACTCAAGAAAGTGGTATTAGATCATGCTAGGTAAGAAGAAGAAGAGATATGTGGGCTTCAGTTTGCTCTTTCCTTATCGGCAGAGAGACCAGTGAAAGGTGCCCTCCTGTCCTACCACCAGGTCATAAAGTCTATGGCACAGGAGCCCACATGCTGTGTGTGTTGACTTTGGGTCTCCCTACTTCAGGAGAGGGTCTCACCCTGGGAGGCACTCATTAACCATCTCTTCAGTTAATAATATGAGTATAAGTGCTTTGCAAGATAACAAGCTTTAGTCTCTCCTCATTGCTTTGAAGAAAAGCCTCTGGTTCTGTTGCCACTTGATCTGCTTCCATCACAGAGTGTTTTCATCCAGTGGGCATCATTGCAGCCTAAGGGGAATGGCTGCCAAGGATTTAAATACTTCCAAGAGAAATAAGTAAACCAATGGATCAAACAGGAAACAAAAATTTTAATACCCAATGACTGATACCCTAATTTATGTTTTTATTTCAGCACTGGCAATTACCATTGGGCCGACGGTTTCGCTCCTTGAAGATGTGGTTTGTTTTCAGGATGTATGGTGTCAAAGGACTGCAGGCTTACATCCGCAAGGTGACTTTTTTTTTAAACCTTATCAGGACAATGTTGCAGAAGTCTTCTCAAACTCACTGCTATGGAGTCCAGTTTGATTTATAGGACGCTATTGGGAAGAGTAGAACTTCTCCTATTCACAACTCTGAACTATGGTCAGAGGCTTAATCCTTGTGGGGATCCTGCAAATGGATTAGAGGCTACAATAAATTTTATAATGTTCTCTGCCTGATAGCAAGGCTATTCACATGTCTGGACTATGCTCAGAGGCTTAATCCTAGTGGGGATCCTGCAAGTGGATTTTGGACTTCTTTAGCCTTCTGCAAACTGGGCATTCAGAATTTAAGCTCTGATACCATTCCCTCCTCCAGATTTGTATTTAATTATTTAAAAATCCTTGGATCACACAGGCTGGTGCACTTCTCCCATGTGGACTTATTTGATGCCACACATAGATGGCTGCTTGTTTTACAGCAAGACTTTAAGATCCCAGATGCTATTCCTTCTGATAGTCAGGGACTATGTGTTTAATTATGACCCCTTTATGACAAACACAAGTTTGTCACAGATATTCACAAGAATGTGGCATAGCTGTGGTTCCAATGCTAGTGAGAGTAACATACCAAGACCTTCATTTTAAGTCCTGGCGTACCTGTCAGCCTAACTGTGCATCTCTGGACAGGTGAATAAACATTTCTAGATCCTGTTCTTTAATAGGGGAAACATGGGCCTACCAAAAGCCAGAAACTGGTATATCTCTACCTTAAAAGACTGCTATACACATCTGGGGTCTTAAAGGCTTGAAGATAAACAAGCAGACATCTAGCTGAGAAATAACAAAGTCCACATGGATGAAGCACACCAGCCTCTGTGATCATGAGGTGTCAATGGGATCAGGTATCAGGCATCAAAGACCCAGAAAAAAAATCGTATCTATGTGAATGAAGGGGAGTGCGGATTGGTGACCCAAAGCTCATCTGTAGACAATTGGACATCCCCTTACAGAAGGTTCACAAGGAAGAGATGAGCCAATCAGGATACAGTATAGCACTGATGAAACGTACAACTTTCCTCTAGTTCTTTAATGTTTCCTCTCCCCAACTATCATGACCCCCAATTCTACCTTACAAATCCGGCTAGACCAGAGCATGTACACGGGTACAGATAAGAGCTGGAAACCCAGGGAATCCAGGACTGATAAATCCCTCAGAACCAACAATGAGTGTAGCGATTCCAGGAGGGGAGGGGGAAGGTGGGAGGAGAGAGGGGAAACCTATCACAATAACCTACATATAACCCTCTCGCTGCGGGACAGCCAAGAGAAAAGTGGGTGAAGGGAGATATTGGTCAGTGTAAGATATGAAAGAATAATAATAATTTATAAATTATCAAAGGCTCATGAGAGAGGGAGAGTGGGGGCGGGGGAAATGAGCTGATACCAAGGGCTCAAGTAGAAAGAAAATGTTTTGAAAATGATGATGGCAACAAATGTAAAAATCTGCTTGATATAATGGATGTATGTATGAATTGTGATAAGAGCTGTATGAGCTCCCAATAAAATGATTTTAAAAAACTGCTATAAAGAAACATATCTGTAAAACACTATTAGAATCTATTTGAGATAAAGAACCAGGGAATACATATATTTATGTGCTATTTTATAAGCAAAATAAAACTCTTATTATTTGACAGCTTCTTTGGTGGAAGAAGGCAAAAACCAAGTTATTTATTTTTTCATGACTTTATCTTTAAGCTTAGAGACAATCGATATGATTAAGTAGTCTCATACATACTACTATATGAACCTTGGAAATACATACTACAATATGAACCTTGGAAATACCATGCTGAATGAAATAAGTCATACACAAAAGGACAAAAATTGCATGGTCTCAAATATATGAAATATCGAACAGGAACGAATACAGAGACCAAAGGTGGATGTCACTGTGGGTAGAAAAGAGGGGGAAACGGGACTCACTACTTAGGGGACACTGAGCTTCTGCTAGAAGTGATTGGAAACCTGGTAAATGAATAGTAATGATGCTTGAACAACTAGATGAATGTGATTAAAGTCATTCAATTGTTTATATAAAAGTTTTACAGCAACTGTTTTGTTACATATTATATTTACCACAATAAAAAATTAAATAAAATTTAAAATGTTCTATGCCAAACCTGATTTAGTAGGAACGTAAAATGAAACAAGGAAAAAAAGCCCTTAAAACAAAGCAAAAACCCATACTCTTTATGTCATCTTGCCAACTCGGACTCCAGTTCCTGGCTGCTCATTAGTTTTTCTAGAAACCAGGTTTGGTGCTCATGCACAGGCTCCAAAGTCTTTGGCGCCCTCTAGTGATATGACTATAAACCAATTCTTTAACAAAGGGTTGCAAGCCTATCAAAGTCTGTCCACACAGAAGCAGTTTTCTAGCTATTTAAATATTCCAATATGAGTATTTGGCCTTGATATTTATGTTGGTGTTTAGGATGACTAAGATATATTCCTAGGCCATATAGTGCTTGTTCTTTTTCATATATCATATACCTTATAACTCCTACGTATCAACTATCTTAACATTTGACATCTCACATTTACATAGTAAAAAATACACTGTTTTGCACATTAACAATGCACATATTTCTGGTAGTAACAAACACTGAGGTTCTAGCTGTGGTGGTTAAGGTTATGTGTCAACTTGGCTCAGCCATGATTCTCAGTGGCTTGACAGTTACACATGATGTCATTTGGTCGCTATGATGTAATCATCCTCCATTTTCCCGTAACAAACTGGTCTTAGCAACCTCACCATGTCATTAGGTAAGAAGTGAGTATACACTTTAAGTAGCTTCTTAATTCTCTAAACATCTAGAAGTTCAATCAGAGTAATAGAGTTCTTAAGAGTGATGGTGACTGAGCTATATGGAGTCTTGATATAAGATAGCTGTATTACAATCAGCCAAGTCCTAGCCATAATCTCTATGATAATCAGTTTCCTTTTCTACCAAATCACTAACACTATGGTATCGCCTGTTCTGTGGGATTATTGTAGTTATTATGTGCCAGTGAAGAACTCTACTGAAAGTATTAAGGTTATCTATGATTTATTTTCTCCTGTGCTTGAATGTTTACTCTTAAATCATAAAAAAAATTGTTTGGGTAGGATGTACATAGTCCCACTCACTTAAGAAAGCAATGATTTTTGTTTTTCTGAAAACATTAGAACATCTCTCTTAGTAACTGAATTTCTTCTCAACCTCTCAGGGGAATGCTGGTAAGTGGTGACATAAATCTTTAAGGAAGTTGCTGAAAGCACATATATGAATTAGGTGGTTATATTCTACGTGTTTAGTGATGAGAAAATCAAACAAATTTCCCTGTTTCTCTTTCAAGCATGTCCAGCTCTCCCACGAGTTTGAGTCTCTGGTCCGCCAGGATCCTTGCTTTGAGATCTGCGCTGAAGTCACTCTGGGACTGGTCTGTTTTCGTCTAAAGGTACATTTATAACTGTTTTTCTTTCACTTCATCTTCTCTGAATGTTATAGAAGGAGACAATCTTTGGGCTCAAAAACCTACATGAGCTCCTGAGGCTACTGCATCAAATCTCTGACTCATGCCACTCGCTCCTCTATAGAACCCTGAGACTTCTGGCTGTGCAGTTCTTTTGCCCTATGAGTCTCCCAGTTTTTCTCTCCCCATTTTGATCTGCTGCATCTCTGCCACTGCAATCCCCCTGATTCCTGGGGCTGTGTAAAGTCTGGCTAATCTGAGTGTCTACATGGACCAACAGCAGCAACTTGATCTGGATACTAGACATGAGATCCTCAGGCCCATAGATGTGCATTTGAATAAAGCCCCAGGTGATTTATGTTCTCACAGGAGGGTGAAAATAGCTGGTCTCTACCACTCTTTTTGTCTGACCGATAGTGTATAAATGGGTCATGGCATAAGCAGTCTATACAGTGAGGAATTTCCAAGGCTCTAACATGCCCTTCTTAATCTACTCTACCTCTTATAGAAAACTGGATGAGAACCCAAAAGACTGACTTGTATTCAGGTACCTTTTAGCAGCAAAACCCCCCCTTTCCACAAGGACTCCATTTTCAATTCAAAGTCAACCCGGAGAAATGATTGTGACTGTGCTCAGTCAAGATGCCACGGGTGGGGCTGGGCCACAGCCACGCACTTACTCCTTTTCCCTTGCCTGCTTTCCAGAGGTTTGAGATGATGATGAGAAAAGTGCAGGGACAAGGATCAAAGCAGCTGAGATAGAGTTGAGTTCTGAAGCAAGGGAGGGAGCGAAGCAGGAGAGGGAGATGACAACACTCCAGAACATGAGGGGGCACAAAGGGATGAGAGCCGAGAGAAGGTGAAGGGAAGCGCAGGGGGCATCCACACTACAGATGAACACAGCAGGAAAATTGCGAAGCTTTGTTTTCTCGGGGTGTGTGGTTATAGGAAAGATGACATTCAAGAAAATGGTGAGCATTGTGCTTAGAATCATTGCCCTTCGAGCAGTTATTTTATTTTTTATTCTCCAAGCAGTTGTTTTTGTTTCAGTTTTTCTGCCAATGTTCTTGTAGAGCTTTAAATATTCTTAGCAATTTTATTGAGAAATAATTAACACATTATCTAGTTTTTAAAATCATTTTATTGGGGGCTCATACAACTCTTATCTCCCTTTGGACTTATTTTAAAGCTGTTCAGTTAAAAAAGGAAAAAATGAAGGCAAATAAATACATGTGGATGAAGCCCCTGACCAGGGACCAGGGATGGGAATAGTCATGCTATCATGCAGACTGCATTGGAAAGTGGAGTTTTGCACATTCACGTAGGTTAAAATTTAGCATCCTATCATTTGATCTCCCGTAAATTAAAATTTTTGATTAAATTTAATTTTTTCTAGTTTTTAATATTTTTAGTTGTCTTTTCAATTGAGGTTTTTATCTGTTTTACTTTGTTATTGATGCTAGTTTTTAAATTTGTTTTAAAATATTTTTCTGTATATGAAATCAGGATAGGTAAATCTATAGAGAGAGTAACTAGATTAAATTTTTCTTGGAGGCACGGCAGGGAGGTTGGGAGGAAATGTGGAGGTAATAACACTGAGTTCAAGAAAGAAGAAAATATTCTCAAACTGATTAAGGTATTGATTTTACCACTCTTCTTAATGTGATTAAACTATTGAATTGCATGGTATGTGGATTATGCGCCAATTACACTGTTTTCTTAAAAAAACTTCGTAGACGCCCCCCACAAAAAAGTGACATCATTGCCTTTTTAGTACATATACTGCCAAAGTGAGCATGACATCATTTCTTTTTCCACACTTAAAGAAATCTTTTGCAGCATATTCGCATAATGCATCCTTTGATTTATTTGATGACTTTTACCGTGTTGATTACAGACTCAAGTAAAAAGCAGCCCTTGACAACTTCAATATTTTCTCCATTCATAAGAGAATGCTTATTGTTCTAGTTACAGGATGTGTTTTTTTCTTTTATATCGAATCTTAATCTGTACTGTATGGTCTAGTCTCTGATCCTCATGAAAAGCATAAATTTCCTTCACTGTCAGCAAGAAAAGAAGGTTGCATATTGCAAGTTACTGAGTCTTCCTCCCATCCTAATGCTGCGGTCTTTCTCATGTATGTGGAAATTGTGCATAAACAAAGAAGCAGTTGTTCCAGCAGAGTATGGGAATACTGAGTTGTTTAAATATGCTTACTCAATCTATGAGTACAATTAAATTTAGGAATTCCCATTCTTTACAGTGTTATCCATAATTCACTATGATTCACACAGTCATATGCTTTTGTATAGACCATAAAACACAGATAAACATCATTGTAAAATTCTCTGCTTTCAGCCAAGAATCATCTGAATCAGCAGTTCTAGTTCTTGTTCCTCATCCTCTTCTGAATCTACCTTGAGTTTTTGGTAGTTCCCTGTTGATGTTGTACTTCAACTGTTACTGAATTAACTTCAACAAAATTTTACTTTCATGTACTATTAACGATATTGTTTAATAATTTCTTAATTTTTTAGAATGTATTTCTTTGGAACAGGCATTGTGATAATTAGGGATTATTATGTCAATAATAATAGACACTCCTGGGCAGGAGTCGGGGTGGTGATCAAACTATCAATCAGGTCTCTGCCTGGTGACCGTCTTGGGGGTGTTACCTCTTACATAAGAAAGAGACAGCAGAGTCATATCCTCTTTGACCCTTCTCCTTCTGCTGGAGCCAGATCTTGTGCCTGGTTCCTTGATCTCTTTTTGGTTACTAGCCAATCCCAGCAGCCATCAGTGGATTCGTTTGGCTGACTTTGGATACATTCACCTCTGTATCCACCATTCTGTGCCACCTCGGCCTCCACTTCATCATACCTGCTCCTTGTTCATCTGCCTCCATGAGTCAGGAGAAGCCTGACTTGAAAAGGACTGTACTAATCTGCTTCTACAACTGTGCCAGCCACTTCTTGATATTGATCTCTTTCTATATACAAATACATAAAAGTGTCCCTCATTTTGCTTCTCTAGAGAACCCATCCTAACACAGGCCCGAATAAAGATCTCTTCTAGTATGCTAGCCAGACAGATGTCTTAAAAAAAAGTATTGATATGGATGTGTGAGTGCTTCCAGTGTGGAATTCATTTGTTGAAATATCTCGATTGGTATTCCATCAATTCTAGGAGCCTTGTTTTTTGGTCAGTGCAACTTAGAATTCTTCCTTCAGTACCATCAGTTCTTGATTATATGCTACCTCCTAATATGACTGAACACTAACCAGTTACTTTGGTACAGTAACTGTGTGCATTCCGTCCATCTTCTTTTGATGCTTCCCACTTTGTTCAAAATTTTGTCCTTCAATATTTCAATTTGAGGCTCGATTTTTTTCCCTTCAGTTTTCCGACTCGAAAACTTCTGAGTACGTCCTTACCATCGGTTTTCTAACTCCAGGTCTTTGCACAGTTTGTGCTGGCACGTTATCACTCTTCTTGAGCCTCCCTTTGATGTCGACTCAGCTCTTTTACTTCATCGTTTCTTTTATCCATTTTAACCAATCTCATTCAAGAGCAAGAGTCATAGTCTTCTTTCATATCTACTTTATTCTTTCCTTCCTTTGTAGAATTTTTAATAGTCTTTTGCTTTCTTTATGTAGAGTGTCCTTGTCATTTCCTAATCATCTGGGTTTCGGGCATTAGTTTTCAATGTGTGAAATTTAATCTTAAAATAGGCTCTATGCAACAATGAAACATACAACTTTCCTCTAGTTCTTTAATGCTTCCTCACCCCCACTATCATGATCCTCATCAATTTATAAATGGCATATCCAGGAATATTCATTTTTTTTACAAAAAGGATCGTGAAAGTGTCATCTCTTGACAGTCCATTAGGACATGAAGAAATTTCTTATTAGGGAGAAGATATAGTCTTTTAGGATTTTGTTAGGTGTCTCAGTTGTGCAAACAGCTACTTCTGAAAGTTTGGGGACTCTAATCCATGAACCAGGCACTGCAAAAAAGACCTGACGTTGTATCTTGCCACTGCGTTGCAAGGAAGGAATGAGTCAACTGGGGTGCAGTATAGCACTAATGAAACACACAATATTCCTCTGGTTCCTTGAGGCTTCCTCAAACCCCTCCGCACCCCCACTATCATGACCCCAGTTCTGCCTTTCACTGTGGGTTAGGCCAGAGCATATACACAGGTACAGATAAGAGCTCAGGACATAAGGAATCCAGGTCAGATAAACCCCTCAGGAACAGAAATGGGAGTAGCAATACCAGGAGGGTAGGGGGAAGGTGGAGAGAGGAGGGGGGAAGAAACCGCAGGGAAAGGGAGACTGTGGTTGGTGTAAGATATGAAAATAATTTATAATTTATCAAGGGGTCATGAGGGTGGGAGGGAGGGTAAAAAGAGGAGCTGGCCAAGGGCTTAAATGGAATGTAAATGTTTAGAAAATAATGATGGCAACATAGGAACAAATATGCTCGATACAGTTCATATGTGCATTGTTATAAGAGCTGTAAGAGCCCAATAAAAGACCTCATGACCTACTTCTGAAAGGTCCAACTGAAAATTCAAATCTGTCTCCGTGGAGTTAATTCTAACACCGTCGGGCAGCTCTAGGGTTTTCTTGGCTATTATCTTTACAGAAGCACATAGGCAGGCCTTTTCTTCCCCAGGGTCATTGGGTGGCACAGATCGTTTGCGCCGCCCAGAGAGCCTCCACAAAGTCCCAGCCATGACATCCTAGGAAGCGCATGGGGTCAACATGCGTCAGAATGAAATCCATGGGGACTAGTTTTCGTTTGTTTGGTTTGGTTTACTGTTATTTACTTGAATTTTTTTTAACATGATAGATGAAGAGCAAAGGTCAGGTTTGGCCTCTTTCACAGATCCATTGTATAACTGCCAAACACTGACCTTACTGGTCACTTGTGAGTTGACTATTTGAATCCCGGAGACCTAAGAACAGCTCCTCTCTTTGATCATTGCAGGGGACCAACGAACAGAATGAAGCTCTTCTTGAAAAAATCAACAATGCCAAAAAAATCCACTTGGTTCCGTGTCACCTTAGAGAGAAGTTTGTGTTGCGCTTTGCCATTTGCTCTCGCACTGTGGAATCAGCCCACATCCAGCAGGCCTGGAAGCACATCAGAGAACTGGCAACCGAACTGCTGCAAGCGCAAAAGAAGTAACGCACAACAGCAACAGGTGACCCTCATTCCCTTGGCTAGCTTCCACCTGCTTTTGAGTTGAGCACCCTGAATCAGGCCCCTGGGTCCTGTAGTCCCAGCCGCCTCAGATACCACTGCTGGGACCGAATTTCTCCCACTGGAAAATGAGGAAGTAAAACAATATGCTGTCCACCCTGGAGACGTAAAAGGGATGAGGAGTTGCAATACTATGTTTTGAGAACGATGATAGACCATCAATTATATGGGAGTCTATCGCTGATTCAGTGTTAATATACTCAGCTGCTAACAGTACAATTTAAAGTTTCAGTCCACTCAGAGTCTCAGAGAAAGGCCCATCTACTCTGAGAACCCCGTGGAGCACAGCTCCACTTGACAAGCGCGGGGAAACCGTGAAATGAAAGCAACTCCATCGTCACTAATGTTTCTCTTCAATTTCCCCTCCGATGTTTCTCTTCAATTTCCCCTCCGATGCTTTCGAACACATTTTTGAGGTACCTCACTACTATAACAACCTGATATGTTAAAATGGCAAACTTCAGATAAATGGACACAATAAACAGATAACTTAATGTGACCTATGATATGCTTTCGGGTGTTTGCAGGAATTATTTGTGGCTTAGAAAAAGAAAATGATTTGAACACTGGACTTTTTGTAATTGTGGGGATTCGTCTCATATCAATTAAAGAAAAGCTGAAAACATGCGGTTAACTTGTAGGTAAAACATTTTAAATGAATATAGTTTAGCAAAATGAGAATATTTAAAATTATATGTGTGGAAGCAAAAACCACCTTTAAAAGCCTTATCATTAGATTATCTTAAGGACATCATTTTATAGAACTTCGTATACCTTATTATCTTTCTTTCTTTCAGTCCCATGTTGAGCGGAATGGTGAGCTCACGCCTGTGTCTCTGTGATCTCCCTTCACTGCAACTATTCCTTAGTTCTCGTCCTCTTTGTTTCCCCATTATCTAGTCTGCTGCTAAGGTTCCAGTTCCTACTGGCACGGGTTTATTACAAACAAAATGTGCTTAAACATGCTTCTAGAATCAGTGGACGGCTACAGACAAGTTCTCAGTAGTACACTTGTCTTACACTCATTCCCAAACCAAAACTACTGTCATTCAGTCAATTCGAGCTCACATCTCCCCTATAGGACTGAGTAGAATTGCCCCTGAAGCGGTAAATCTTCACCATAGATAGTACAAAGCCTTATCTTTCTTTTTTTAAAATCATTTTATTAGTGGCTCATACAACTCTTACCACAATCCATACATACATCAATTGTGTAAAGCACATTTGTACAAGATTGCTCTATCATTTTTTTTTTTTGGAATGTAATTTTTTTTCTTGTTTTTGTTAAAAATCAATTTATTGGGGCTCATACAATTCATCA